AGTAAATATAAAATAAAATAAAATGATTATACTAATGGTCACTCTACAGGTGCTATGTTAGTTATCCGTTGCTATGTAACAAAATACTCCTAGACTTAGCCACTTAACAACAAGCATTTATGATCTCACACAGCTTCTGAGTGTCAGGAATCTGGGAGCTGAGTGGTCTGGCTCAGGGTCTCCCCTTGCTTGCAGTCGTCTGAGGGTGGACTGGGGATGGTTGTTGGGAGGGCTCAATTCCTTATTTTATTTATTTATTTTTAAAAATCCTCACCCAAGGATATTTTTCCATTTATCTTCAGATAGAGCAGGAGGGAGAGAGAGAGAGAAACATGACATGAGAGAGACACATCGATTGGTTGCCACCCGCACGACCCCAACCGGGGCCGGGGATGAACCGCCATCAAGGTATGTGCCCTTGACTGGAATCAAACCCGGGACCCTTCGCTCCACGGCCGATATTCTAGCCACTAAGTCAAACCGGCCAGGGCAACTATTGTGTTTTTTTTTTTTAAACCAGAAAGCAAGCAGTTTGGTGTGGACATGCAGAAATTGAAACCCTCATATGTGGTTGGTGGGAACGTAAAATGATACAGTTGCTTTGCTGAACAGTCTCGCAGATCCTAAAAAAGAAGACATCACATAACCCAGCAATTCCGCTCCTGGATCCATACCCCAAAGAATGAAAAACAGGGACCCTTAATAGATATTTGCACACCCGTGTCCATAACAGCTCTGTTCACGGTAGCCCAAAGGTGGAGCCAGCCCAAATGTCCATCAGCAGATAAATGGATCAACCACATCTGATCCCTGCCATGGAATGTTCTTCACCCTTGAGAGGAGGGAAATGCTGACGTGTACTACGATGTGGATGAGCCTTGAAGTCCGTGAAGTGAACAAGCTGGCACATACTCCGCGACTCCACTTGTGTGAGGCTCTGGGGTAGTCAGATTCACAGGAACAAAGCAGATTGGTGGTCAGGGGGAAATGGAAGTTATTGCTTAATTAGTGCAGTTTTAGTTCTGGACTTGGATGGTGGTGATGGTTGCCTGACATGTGTATGTACTTAATGTCACCGAACTGTGCACTTAAAAATGGTTTAAGTGGTAAATTTTACAGTATGTTGTATTTTGTCACAATAAAATGACAAAATAACAGTGATGGGTACTGCTATGGCGAGCAAGCTGTGAGGACCCTGACCTCTAGCAACAGAACAAAGGATTTTAAAAAATGATCATATATGGTCCTGGCCGGTTTGGCTCAGCAGTTAGAGCACTGGCCTATAGACCGAAGAGATGCGGGTTTGATTCCCAGTCAAGGGCACATACATGGGTTGTGGGTTCGATTTCTGGCCCCAGTTGGGGTCATACAGGAGGCAACCAATTAATGTGTCTCACATCTCTCTTTCTCTGTCTCCTTCCCTCCCACTCTATGTGAGAAAACCAATGGAAAAATATCCTTGGGTGAGGATTAAAAAATAAATAAAATGATCATATACATATAAAACAGAATATTTTACACTTTTGGAAAAAGAATATTTCCAACTAAAAACGTATCAGCAGGGACACATTTCAGAAACTCAATGTGGGTCTAAAAAAGCAAGTAGCGCCCAGCCAGTGTAGCTCACTGGTTGAGCGTCGACCCATGCACCAAAATGTCCCTGGTTTGATTCCCAGTCAGGGCACATGCCCAGGTTGTGGGCCCCATCCCCAGTGGGGGGCATGCAGGAGGTGGCCCATTGATGTTCTCTCTCATCGATGTTTCTCTCTCTCTCTCTCTCTTCCTCTCTAAAATCAATTAAGAACAATATTTTTTAAAAATTTAAAGCAAGTAGCAGAAAGATATCTGTGTTTATCATTTTTATTAAGTTTATGAATGTCTATGGTGAAATCATTAAATAGGACAGCAGCTACCATCTGGAGAGCGAGAAAAGAAATGGGACCGAGGAAGAAGGATGCACAGGTGCTTCAACTGTGTGTGATGTTTGTTCCTTAGCCTGGCGAGTATGCGAGCACTTGTTATACTCTCTTTTTCTGTATGCCTGAAATGTTTTATTAAACCAACCCCTGTGGGAGCAAAAAAAAAAAAAAAATGTTTAAAAATCCCCAAACCAAAAGAGCCAAACCTCAAATTAAAACAATCAAGCTTCGCCTGTGTGTGAAATGATTTTTTCCCCCTCTTCTTGATGACTGGTGCTTAGGTGACGTTCGGCATTTAGATATTAGCAGATGACGTGACAAGGGTGGCTGTGCATCCTGGGAGGGGCGTGGCTGTTGCACCTGCTGCCTTAGGGAGTAACCCCACCCCTGCCCCACCTTTAGCTGGGAGCAGATGCTTGGCTACCTCATCATCAGGTCAGTAGCTTCCTCCCAGCTCTTCAAACTGGAAAGCATTTATGAATAATCCTACTAACTTGCATCGGAGAGAAAGAATTCTCATCCCAAGGCTAGAGGATCTAAGGTTCAGCTATGTGAAGGTTATGTACTTTTTTTCTGAAGGGTGCTTTCCAAACACTTCCTGATGTTGTGTAAGAGGAGATTTATTTCTGGGGTAACAAAGCTCCCATTGAGAGCGAAGCCCTGGCACATACACACAGCCGCCCTGGGTGTGCCGGAGCAGAACCTCAGTTCACCCGCAAATGTTACGGGCAGACGTAGGTGAGCAGAGAAACTCAAGCACAGTATCAGTCAACCAGGAAAAAAAGGAAAAAAATCTGCACGTCCACCCACGCGTCACATTGACGGGTTGGAGACCAATGCAAGGATTTTCTGTGTCTTTTCTATTTTCAACCACTTTTAAGAGTGTCAAGCAGTTTTTAGAGCGGCCGAAAACAAAACTTTTCTGCGGTTTGCCCTGTTTGGCAAAGGAAGTGGTGTGTGACTCGAATAGGTTGGTGGCAGAAAACAGGACTGCGAGGCCTCATGAAAGGACTGGGCAAGGCTGAGATGTGAAGAACCTCGTGAATGGAGCATCCAAGCATCTGTACACAGATGTGCCATTCAAAACACGGCTCGTTCTTGGTGGGTGTTCTTGGTTAAGTCACTTCATCCCTCTAACCTTTCTGGAACACTCCAAGCCTTAAACTTTTTCTCGCCTTCTTTGGGGATCGAGAGGAGTTTCTGGACATCTTAAGCCTCCTAGGTGAGAATTTTCTGGAAAATACAGCTATTATTCTCAAGTTGGCAGGTCTATTCTTTTCCTGGAGAGAAAAAGGAAACAAACAACAAAAAACTGAGCGAGCCCGGCCAGACCAAGAGGTCGCTGGTTCCATTCCTGGTCAGGGCACATGCCCAGGTTGTGGGCCAAATCCCCAGTGGGGGGCATGCAGGAGGCGGCCAATCCATGTTCTCTCTCACTGATGTTTCTATTTCTCTTTCCCTCTCCCTTCCTCTCTCTAAAAAAATCAATAAAGAAAAAAAAAAAAACTGAGCGAGTAGCCTGACCATAATTTGACTTTGTACTTCTACTTCCTCTTTCTTTCTTCTTCTTCTTTTTTTTTTTTTTGGTGGCCTTTCCTCCTCAAAGCCACCTTTGGGATCAACTGTAACAAGGTCAAAGAAAAAAGAACTGAACTCGGTGAAAACTTACTTGCAGATAACATGAAATGCTTCCTCTAACTTTCCTCATTTTTTGACATGTGTGCCCTTGGACATGAGGGGCCTGGGAGGAGAGAGGACAGGTCAGGGGAGCCCAGTCCAATGTCCGATGGACAACTCAGACCTTAGGTTCTGCAGGTGGCGAAGAGAAGCTTTGTCTTCATACACAAAGCTCATCAGTCAGCCAATAAGCGTTTACTGAATGCCTCGCCTGTGTTCATTGCTGAGTTATGCATCGAGCTCAGTGTGTATGATGCCAGACTGACGGATGCCCGACTGGGAACCAGGAGACCTGACAAACTGCTTGATGTTGGGGGGAGAAAAAACAATAAAACAAAACCTCCCTTCTTCCAGGGCCTTAGTTTCTTCAGACGTAAAGTTAGGGGGCTGTCGTGGTGAATCTCAGAGTTAGGTTTCTTTGAACTAGAACCGTGGCAGATTCCAGAGCAAGAATGAGTTCCCAGACTCCTTCCTGGATCTCGAGAGACTTCCAGATGCCTGGGGAGGCTGCACAATTACACTCGAAAACGTGTCCTTTCTGGAAGAGCACAGGTGGGCCCACCTGGATGTCTAGGTGCCTTCCTCTGCGTGGGTGCAAAGGCGCAGGTGCACGGTGATCCAACCATCCTGGTGTTCTGCCTATTCCTTGAACGACCGAGCTGGTCCCGACTCAGGGCCTTTGCACATGCGGGTCTCGCTCCTCCCCTTCCCACAGGAAGGGGCTGTGTCCCCCGTTCTCGTCCTGTAGCTCCGCTTGCACGTCCCCTGCTGAGTGGGCCATCTTTTCCGGGGACTCTCATCTCAGTCCTCACCAACCCCTTCGGCCTCTCCCACTCCGGGGGCCCTGCGCCGGCTGCACCCCGGCAGCTGGCAGCTCCACAGAGCAGGCGTCCTTTCTGTCCGATTCGGAGCCGGGCACCCAGGGCCCGGTACACACGTAGGTTTCCACAAATGTTTACGTGAGCGGCTGGAGCCCCCCAATCCCGGGATCACCAGAGGCATGGAAGCTGTCTCCCCGCGAGGTCCCCCGGGTGGGCTCCGCGGGCCAGGCGGGGCTCAGGCTGCAGCACCCCGCTGCCCGCTGCCCGCGGAGTTCCCTTTCCTTGAAGAAAAGGCTCTTATGACATCACGGCGCCCGGTCCAGCGCCGCAGTGACATCATCACCGCCGCTCCTGCGTCACTCCCGCGTCCCCAAGAGCCTCTCCCTTCCCAGAGCAGCCCCGGCCGACCCGCTGACACCCGCGCCCGGCCCGCCAGGTGCGCGCCGCCCGCGTCCGCCCGCGCGGCGATGACGTCACGCCCAGGGCTGGCGTCACGTGCCCCCCCGCGGGGCGGGCCTTGGGGGCGGGCCTTCCGGTGGCGGAGCCCGGCGGCCAGAGCGGCGGCGGCGGCGGCGGCGCGGGGATGGCGGGCGCCGGGGGCGAGGCCCGGTTCGCCGGCCTGTCGCTGGTGCAGCTGAACGAGCTGCTGGAGGACGAGGGGCAGCTGGCGGCCATGGTGCAGAGGATGGAGGAGGTGAGCGGGCGGGGCGCGGCCCGGGGCCGGGGGCCGGGGCCGGGGGCCGGGGGCCGGGGGCCTGCCGTGCGCTTGGCGGAGAGGCGGCTGTGGCTGCGTCTGTGGGGCGGGGGTGCCGGGCGTCGAGATCGGGTTTCGGAGGGGCCTGGAGTCGAGGAATAGGGGTGACAGGCCGCCCTGAGGGCGCCGAGGGGTAGGTCTGGGCAGAGGTTGGGGGGCTCACGGGGAAGGTTGAGGGACACAGGGAGCCTGAGGCAGTTACTGGGGTCTGAGAATAGGTTTGGAGGGGCTGAGTGGACTAGCTGGATGTGAGCTTTAGAAGAGAGTGTTGGGGTTCCCAGATGGGTTCCAGGGGGCTGAGTGTAGCTGAGTCTGGGAGGTAGTTTTGGGGGGTGAGTGTAGCTGAGCCTGGGAGGTAGTTTTAGGGGGTTGAGTGTAGCTGAGTCTGGGAGGTAGTTTTGGGGGGTTGAGTGTAGCTGAGCTGGGAGGTAGTTTTGGGGGGTTGAGTGTAGCTGAGCCTGGGAGGTAGTTTTGGGGGGTGAGTGTAGCTGAGCCTGGGAGGTAGTTTTAGGGGGTTGAGTGTAGCTGAGTTGGGAGGTAGTTTTGGGGGGTTGAGTGTAGCTGAGCCTGGGAGGTAGTTTTGGGGGGTGAGTGTAGCTGAATCTGGGAGGTAGTTTTAGGGGGTTGAGTGTATCAGAGTCTGGGAGGTTGTTTGGGGGGGCGTGAGTGTATCAGAGTCTGGGAGAGAGTTTTAGGGGGTTGGGTGTAGCTGAGTCTGGGAGGTAGTTTTGGGGGTTGAGTGTAGCTGAGTCTGGGAGGTAGTTTTGGGGGTTGAGTGTAGCTGAGTCTGGGAGGTAGTTTTGGGGGTTGAATGTAGCTGAGTCTGGGAGGTAGTTTTGGGGGTTGAGTGTAGCTGAGTCTGGGAGGTAGTTTGGGCATGGACGTTAAGGGAGGGTCTCTGAGGTTGGGAGGCATGAAGTCACAGACTTAGCCGTAGATGTAAGTGGTCTGTGTGTCTGAGGGATCCCCAGTATCAGAGGGGCCCTCTGGGGTTTGCTTCATTTGGAAATGGCCCTAACAGAGTTATTGGGGGGGCCCTTCCCGCCAGCCGTGTGGGTGGGCCTAAGGGAGGTGGCAGGATCCTAGCTCTCCAAGAGCTGCCTCCAGTAAAGACGGGAATGTGGGAATTCTGTAGAGGGTGCCGTTACCCTCCAGTGTCCCCCCCTCTTCCCGCACAAGGAGATTTCTGGGGGGAGAAGATGAATTGGGGGTTGTGGGCTAACAGCCAACCCCACCTCTTTGATAGTAGAGGGTTACCGCCCTCCTTCCCTCATGGTTTGCTCTAACGGAAACTTCCTTCACCCCTGCCTTTGCTGAGTGGGCTCCCTTCTCTCCCTTTCTCCCAACCCTCTAAACTCTCTGCAAGGTCGATCCTGTGGGTCTGGGTCGTCCCCAGGCAGGTGGACCCAGGCCCATCCCAGCCCCCCCCCCCCCCAGCCATGTACCACTCCTCCTCCTTTGTCTCTGAAGTCTGAGCTTCCCCCGCCCCGGGGGGCTGAGCCTCTCACCCAGAAGCCTGTGGGGGGCTTTTGGCTGTCTTTCCGAGGAGGGATTGTTCAGCACCCAGCCAGCCCCCTTAAAAGGGGGCTTGTCTGGAGGTTGCACATTCAAAATCACTGGAAAACCCTCAACAGAGCATTGTCCCGAGCTACAGAGAGGCCACTGTAGTAAGATGGTATCAGTCTTTCCATTAATACACCCCTTGTATTCACTGGCTTGTAACTTGGCACATGTAACATTGCTCCAAGGTGCAGTTTACCCCGTTTATGGTCTCCATGTGGCACTTTCCATTTCAGAGAATAATAAGTGACAAAATCCATCTTTCCAGACTGAATGAGACTTTCATGTCTCCAAAGAAAGAAAACCTTTGCCTGGTTTCTCTGCTTTTCTGTTGCCAGGAGACCTTTTGTTCACTTTGCAGCAGGCATCTTCCTAGTTTGATGATAAAGTGATAGGTATCTTTTTCTCCTGTGTAGCACCAGTTGCTGTACTGTGTGTGACTCTCCCGTTCAGTAAGGACCTAGTGCTGTGGCTACAGTGGGGGGACACGGGCGGAAAGAACCCGCCTCTTTGCGGAGGGAAGATGGTGGAGTCGGGCGGCTCTGCTGAGCAAGCCTGTTGGGACTAACTTGTTTCCTCTACCTAGGGCACTGCAGAGCCTTATTGAAAGGGAAAGGCAAATTAGTCTGGCGTGATTTTTGTTTATTGTGGGGTTTTGTGTTTGTTTTGTTTTTGAGTAAAGGTGACCTTCATACCTGAGTATCCTATACAAATACCGAGGACTGGCTGACTCCACTTGACCAGACCACAGGGTTGACATTAGTAACTCGGCAGTACTTTGTGCTTTCATTTTATTTATTTTTGTTACTCCTCACCCGAGGACATTTTCTTACTGATTTTCAGCTAGAGTGGGAGGGAGGAAGAGAGAGAGAGAGAGAAAAAAAGAGAGAGAGAGAGAGAGAGAGAGAGAGAAGAAACATCGACGTGAGAGAGACACATTGACCGGTTGCCTCCCGCACAACCCCGACCAGGAATCGAACCTGTGACCCTTTAGTCCTCAGGCCACCGCTCTAACCACTGAGCAGAATTGGTCAGGGCAGGGTGTTGTGCTTCTGAATGAAACAAGGGAACGGAACGGGAAGACCAGAATACCGTGGGCCGCTCACCTAGCCACGGTCACACTCGCAAAGCTGGCCCCACGCGTGGCGTTTTGGAAGCAGCAGGTGCAGTGTGTACAGCCGTAGTTTTCGTCACGGGGCCCCCACTCGCGGCTGGTGTCGTGCGCCGGTGTATTTGGGAGTGGTTGTGAGTTAGCAGAAGACAGTGTCTGTGATCTAGCCGCCCAAATGGGACATTTATGCTGTACTGGTAAAGAGCATTTGGGCTTCGGAATCAGAGTCCCGGCTGGACTCGGCCGCTTCCCGGCTGTGCGCTCGTAGGAAAGTCACTTCACCTCTCTGAGCGTCTGTTGCAGACGGATGATGTGATCGTGTTTGTGTCCTGGAGTCGATGTTTGGATCATGTGAGACGGTGCATGTTAAGTCCTTAACGCAGCAAGTCATCATTGCTCAGTAGCACAGTTGCAAATTTTTTAACCCTCCTTCGAGGATATGTTTATTGATTTTAGAGAGAGGAAGGGCGGGGGAGAGAGGAACATTGATGAGAGGAACATTAGTCGGTTGCCTCCTGTACACACCCCACCAGGGATTGAACCCGCAACCTAGGCATCTGCCTTGACCAGGAATCGAACCTGCAACCTTTTGGTGTACAGGATGGTGTGCCAACCAACTGAGCCACCCGATCAGGGCGCATGATTGCAATTTTTTTTTAATCCTTACCTGAGGGTAGTTTTCCATTTATCTTCAGATACAGTGGGAAGGAGGGAGAGAGAGAGACAGAAACATCGATGTGAGAAAGACACACTGACTGGCTGCCTCCCGCATGACCCCGACCAGGGCCAGGGACCTGACCGCAACCAAGGCATGTGCCCTTGACCGGAATCGAACCCTTGACTCTTTGGTCCACAGGTCAACACTCCGAGCCAAACCGGCCAGGGCGTGATTGCAAATTTTAATAATCATTTGTAGTTCTCTCTTAAAAAATTTTTTTTAAATTTGTTTTAGAGAGAGTGGAAGTGAGAGGGGGAGAGAGAGAAACATCAGCATTGACCGACTGCCCTGTCGGGGATCAAGCCCGCAACATGGGCATGTGCCCCCACTGGAAATCGAAGCAGTGACCTCTCAGTGCAGGGACGACGCTCAACCACTGACCCCACCGGCCGGCGGTACTTCCCTCTTTCCAGAAAGATTACTGGCAGTCATTAATACCAGACCATTAATTCCAGATCATCCTGACTAGTTGCTATGGTCTTAATTCAAGAATTGTTTTTTATCCTCACCCGAGGACATTTTTCCTTTTTTTTTTGTTCAGATAGAGTGGGAGGGGGAGAGAGAGAGAGAGAAACATTGACGCGAAGGGGACCCATCGACTGGTCGCCACCCGCACGACCCAACCAGGGCCGGGGACAAACTGCAACCGAGGTACGCGCTCTTAGCGGGAACCAAACCCGGGTCTCTCTGGACCGCAGGCTGACGCTCTAACCTCTGAGCCAAACCGGCCAGGGCTTATTTCAAGAATTTTAAGTACCTTTTATCTGCCATTAGCCTGAGAAACATTTACCCGCTGTAGTCAGAGGGCCAGGTGTCTCCGTAGGTCCGCGATGAGACAGTAAGCGGAGCAGGCCTTGTACAGCACGGGATCTCTCAGCTGAACCAAAGCCTCTTTCTTTTCTGTAATTGGCAGGAGGCCGTGTTCTAAATTGCAGAGTAAGGCTTCTTCAAGCCCGAGGGGATGTTTTGCGGTGACTGGAAAGTGTGGCTGGGTTTCGAAGGCATTCACTGTTAGGTTTAAAGACAGCCGGGCACTGTGCTGCACTTAGATTGTTTTAATTGGGGCGCGTGAGACTTTAGTGCCGCACAAGACACGGCGGCCGTGTCGGCGTGCTGGACGCTCCCGTTTCCCAGGCACACCCCTAGTGATTGACCTCACGCCTTTTCCTGGTGCCGTGGGCTGACGTTCCACACGCACATTCTTATTTGTGTCTAAGGTTATTTTTACGTGGCGGCGGAATGCGCCTGTCTCTCCCATGACTGCACTGGACTTGCAGGGCACTCAGTTCCCTCAAAGGGAACTGTCTCAGGGGATTGGCAGGGCAGCTAGACCAGGCCCCTGGGGTCACTTCTCCAGTGTGCTTTTGGGGAAGTGCTGATTGGTTGGTGCTAAGCGTTCCAGTTCAGGGTCTCCGTTCCTGTGGCCAGTGAAAATGCCCCCGTGCAAAACCACGGAGGGTCTGAAAACAGATGGTGTTGTGGGAAGTCGAGAGTCCTGGCTGGAAGGAGCTGTTCCTTCCCTGAGGCGTGTTCTGGCGTGCTGTGCGGGGG